TCTTCACCAAACAGGACTATGTCATCTGCGTATTCTAAGTCGATAAGTGGACCTCCTGGAAGGAGATCAATACCCGAGAATTCAGTCGACGAGAGTGTTATTTCCATCAATAGGTCTATGATGAAGTTAATTAAAAATGGAGAAAGTGGACAGCCTTGACGGACACCACTTGAGGTTGCAAAAGTAGATGACAGTTCGCCATAAGCCCTGACTCGACTAGTAGTGTTCGAGTAAAGAGCCTTCACAAGGTTTATGTACTTCTGAGGTACGCCTTTCAATGACAGACACTGCCACAGAGTCTCGCGGTCTACCGAGTCAAATGCTGCTTTTAAGTCAAGAAAGACCACCATCGTCGGACGCCGATAGGTATGCCTGTGTTCTAGAACCTGACGAATGGTGAATATGTGGTCGATGCAGCCACGACCAGGTCTAAAGCCAGCTTGGTTCTCTCGAGTTTGTAGTTCACGAGTCTTAGTTAGGCGTTTGATAATTATCGAGGCCAGTATTTTAGATACTATGTTTGTTAAACTAATCCCTCTGTGGTTGTCACAGGATGATTTTGACCCTTTCTTATATATTGGGACGATAAGTGATTGCGACCAGTCAGATGGGATAAAGTCTAATTCCCAGATCTTAGCTAAAATATTAGTCAACTTAATCGCTAAAATTGGACCACCATCCTTAAAGACCTCTGGAGCCAATCCATCTGCACCAGCTGCCCTTCCTCGTTTCAGATTAACTATAGCCTTTTGAACTTCAGCAAGAGTAGGGGGACCTATTTCAATGTTCCATTCACACTGTCTGGGAATGGAGGGTAGTTGTAGAGTAGCTGAAGGCCAGCTGAACTGTTCTCTAAAATGTTCCGCCCATCGTTCTAAACGTCTGGACTGGGAGCAGATGAGAGTATCATCTTTTTCCGAAATAATCTCACTTACACTTGATTTATTAATTCCAGTTTCTTTTATTAGTCTGTAAAGCTGTCTTGTGTTCCCTATAGTCGCCGCCTTTTCCATCTCTTTTGCTTTCGTTACCCACCACTGCTCACGGTCGTTCTTTAGACTTTTTCTTAACCTAGATCTGATTTGTTTTCGCTCTTCATCATGTTCAGGACCTGATGGGACGAGTTTGCGAGAATCCATCAGTGTGACAGACCTTGAAGAAATCCACTGGTTCCTTGCAACTCTGTGGTTTAAGTCACTAATAGATGTCACTGCTGTTTCCACAGCTGATTGTATGCCCTTCCAAGCAACATCTGGGTCAGCCTCGTCTTCACAACTACCTAAGTGTGACCTCAGTTGTTCCTGGAACCTACTTTTGGTTTTCTCGTTACTCAAATCAGTTCTAACGGGTCTTTTTAATGTGGCTTTTTTGCGTCCAGTGAGGCGCAAGCAGATGCGTGCCCGTATTAGGGCATGGTCGGAGTCCAAGCAGGTACTCCAGAATGAGCGACAATCTTCTACCGACCCTCTCCAACGATGACTGATGGCAATATGGTCTATTTGAGTCCATCGTTGGTTTGGTGTAGGGGGTCGCCATGTTAGACGATGTCTCTCCTTATGCTTAAAATTTGTGTTTGCTAAAAATAAACGATTGTCTGAACACAGTTGCAGCAGACGCTCACCATTATCTGTTCGCTGTGTCGGAATACTAAAATATCCACCTAAATGCCTTTCTGTTTGGTTTAAACTGCCTATCTGAGCATTAAAATCACCTGCTACGAGTACTATGTCTGAGCGTTTAGCTTTCTGAAGAAGTTCGGACAGCTTTCTGTAAAATTCATCTTTCACATCATCTGAGCTGCAGTCAGTGGGAGCGTAGGCAGAAACGACAAAAAGGCAACGACGTGTGTCCCTATCCTTCCGAGTTCTTACGTAGCCGTTCAGCCGAACAGCACATAGACGACTGTTGACGGGGATCCACTCTAGCAGTGCTTGTTCGGCCGTCATGCTTAGTGCTATGCCTACACCTGCCAGTCCACGAGAACTTGCCATCGGGTCACCAGATACACGAAGGGTGTACCTCGTTGGCTCTCCGTTTTGCCGAGGTGAGGTCAGGTGAATGACCACACTGGAATCCTGTATGCGTGTTTCGGAGACACAGCACACGTCAATGGTAAGAGACTCTAGGGTTTTAGCCAAGGAAGCCTGCTGACCGATTTGACATAGGGTTCGTACGTTGAAGGCTCCAATGTGTAGTTTGGAGCGAGGTTTCAGTAGACCTGGGACAGTATTTTGCGCACTAGAATCGTTGGCTATGGTGACACTTGAGGTGGAAGCCGAGAGAGGAAATTTAAAGTTGAAAGTCGATGTAGGAGGAATAATAGGAATTGAAGAGGAAGGTTGATTATGAATACAGTGGTCTTGAGTGCTGTTAGAGGTATGAGGGCGGTTTTCACTTCCCGGTTGCCCACACCGTGGAAGGGTTGTTCTGGAGGTACCTGAAAAGGAATTTGGATTAAAGGTGGTCTTAGTGACCTGAGAGCGTGACCGCAGTGCCCAAGGGACAACTGCTTGAGGTCGGTCACACACGACCTTGTTATGGGTAATTTTTGTGTTAGCTCCGTACTTATTGGGACCTTACCGCCGGAGACGGATATCCGTGGGATAAGGCGAGGTGTGCATTTTTAGGGTCGACCTTTTCTAACCCCACCCCTCCTTGTGGGAAGGCAGCATCGCTGTCATGCCGGTTGTCTGAAGGAAACACCTTACTGCTGTCACACCTCTGTACAGTCAGCAGTACGACTTCGCCTTCGGACCTTGGGTTTGTTGCTTTTAGTCTTACCGCTCTTCAACCGACCTGTCTGACATGGTAGGACCTTGAGGAACGGTTGTTCCAGCCAGTATAGCTCGGTTGCTTCATCACGATAGGCAAGCCCGACCACCACGTCAAGGTAGCAACAACGGTCGGGTGTGGCAACTGGCTGTTGCAATGTGGAAGTGCCAGTTTGAATGGTGCACGTGGTTTCAGAAAAACTGCTTCAGTACTCATATTCGGTGGTAACATACAATTTTCAACCGGACACTGACTCGAGAACGAATTTCCACCATAGACGAGCTGCTGTATAAGTCGAAAAATTAAGTATAGACAGAGTAGGAATAAAAGAGGGTGAATAATGACGTTTTAAATAATAATAATAATAATAATAATAATAATAATAATAATAATAATCATTTGGATCATTTCATTGTTAGTTGAAGCAAGTAAAATAGTTTCCATAATTATAGGTAGTTTATCATTTGCGTGTGGGCTGTGATACTGCCCGGGTGCCCGAACCGAAGCAGGTGGTTATCTTAGGGGGCCACTTCCCGAGCCTTTGACCTAAAGGTCTAACCCACAATGCAGTGGAGCATCGTAAGGAGATGCAGTCCCATGGTGGCCGGTGACCGAAAATTGGTTCATACACCGTTTGTTCCCGCAGGATACTGGAGCCCATGTGCACCATTGATTTGGTTTTGGATCCGTTTAAAGCGCGGGACATCCGCTTTTCGTCTTCTCATTTTCGTAAACAACACCCCCGCCACGAGAAGGCAATGAGTAGGACGTCCCTGGCAGAGGCTGTATACGCGTGGCTGTGTGAGAGTATTTCGAGAGGAAGAGTGGACTCTCCTCACTCTCGGCCGTACCAGGGCATTTGGGGGAGATAAGTGAGGTATTAAGAAGTGTAGGAAGGATTTGAATGTGACCAACTTGGTCTCGTGTGTTGTTACGGGTATGAGGGCTAATTTCACTTCCCGGTTGCCCACACCTTGGAAGGGTACTTCTTGAGGAACCTGAGAAGGAAGTTGGACTAATGTTGGTCTTAACTACCTGGGAGCGTGACTGCAGAGCCCAAGGGACAACTGCTTGAGGCTGGTCGCGCACGGCCTTTTCGTGGGAGGTTTTAGACGTGTTAGCTCCGTTCTTCAAAGGGCCTTACCGCCGGAGATGGAAATCCGTGAGGTAAGGTGAGGTGTGACATTTTTAGGGTCGACCTTTTCTAACCCCTTCCTTCCTTGTGAGAAGGCAGCATCGCTGTAGATACTGGTTGTCCGAGAGAAACACCCTACTGCTGCCACACCCCTCTACAATCAGCAGTACGACTTCGCCCTCAGACCTTGAGTTGCTGCTTTTAGTCTTACCGTTCTCCAATCGACCTGCCTGGCATGGTAGAACCTACAGGAACATACGTTCCAGCCAATATTGCTCGGTTGGGTCAACACGATAGGCAAGCGCGACCACCGCGTCAAGGTAGCAGCTACAGTCGGGTGTAGCGGGATTCGAATAATACCAATGGTATTCGAAAACAGAACGTAGGAAATACAGAATGGATGAAATCAGAGTGGAAAACGTATCGAGCAACACTTTGCTAAACAGAAGTGTCCATTGGGTATCTGTAGTTTATTAGACTCAGATTTCAAATATCCAGGAGATCAAGTGTTATGTCATTAAAATATCAAGAATCAATTCTCTACATCCACCTAAAGAGAATTTGAGCTTTTCTTAAAAACTTCAGCAATAAATGCTTGAGACCACAATGGAAAGGGGAGCTTTAACTAAAAAGTATTTCAAGGAATATGGTCAGTCAATACAACTTGCATTGTTTAGTAAGTAACAGATTTTCTCGGTTTTATAATTGGGTGGTGCGCAGGTATCATCATGAGAAGTTGGAAAACCCTGATTTAAGAAAAAAATTGGTGTACATGGACTCCAGAACCCTGAAAGAATAAATGGAGCATGAACCTGTCTTTGGTCACCTGCTACCATAGGACAGCATTTCCTGACACTACTCCACTATCATGTGGATTAGAGTCCCACGTCAAAGGCTCCAGGAGTGGCCTCCCAAGAAAACCGCCTGCTTCGGTTTAGTGAACTGAAAGTTCATTTCGTAAGTTAATCACCATCATCTCTGGTGTATGATCGACTGTTATATCTAGGGTAAGTTTATAATACAAAAGTAAAAACAGTCGTTTTCGATAGTAAGTAGTTCAGAAATCAGAAAATTTATTCGAAATCGTATTGTCCAGGATTCAGTACTGAGCAAACAGCTAATAGGATTATAGTAAGTACAATAAATTTTGTTTTCTACAGATACATGAGTAGCTATCTTCCACCTTAACGACCTTATAAACATTTTATGCACCCTACCATATTTGCAGAGACAAACTGATGGTAGATATGAAAGATTCTTAATTTTGGCTGGTACGTTGGCAACATATTCCCCTCCAAGCAGATAATTTTTTATTCTAAAAATAAACAGGTGCTTACACATCATCCAATGGAACAGAAGAAAATCGTCCACGACCACGTGTTTTCGAACGCATAGTTGGTGTGAAAAACTTCTGTCCTCGCCCTGTAGAATTGACACCACACATCAAACCAACGTTGTCGTTCATAATGACGGGTGAATTCATGACAGGAGGCTGAAGTGAAGCAGATGACTCACCGATACCAGGAACTTGACCATGAATCGGTAGTGTGGATGGAGCGTCTATATCAGTGGTTGTGTTGTATACTTGTGAAATAATTTCATTTAGAAACGAATGCTTACTATTTAAATTGACTATGTAATGGGGCATATTGGACCCTTCTGAAAGACAAAAATACATAGGACACAATTAGTATGAATAAAAAGTAGCAAAACAGTAATCAAACAAATAATATTCCAAGTAAAATGAGAAATTGAAAAACAGTATACGAAGCATGTGAAGTAGAATAAAACAGTAATGTCAGACAATAGGATTTATTGAACATACATCTCCCCAAGTTAATATGCCACATAAGTGAAACAAGGGGAAATGAGCACATCAAGGAAGTTTAAAGTGATTGTAATTTATGATTTTTTGACCTAGCAGAAAAGATTCGAAAGATTGGGTTAAACAAGTCATATACAAAATGTAATTCACAAAGTGCTAGTAGCAGTTTGAGACAAGCATTGTGGAGTACGATTCCTAGAGTATCATCTTCTAGGGGAGAAATCCAAAACAACAGCCTTCTGAAACAACGCTTAAACCCGTATACCCACCATTGGATAATCAAACACGAAGAAGTGAGTATTTAGTTAAAATTAGTTGTCAAATGTAATCGAGCCAAGGGAAAAATGTGCATTAACCCAAGGTGCTACAGCATAGTATGAGGTGAATAGTTAGTAAGTACATATAACGTTGTACCAATAAAACTGAAAAAACGGTTTAACAAAAAAAAGAAAAGATATAAATGAAAGAACGTTAGAACCGAGCTAGATTGGCTGGAACATATGTTCCTGTAGATTCTACCAAGCCAGGACAAACAATTTAAGTACGCGGAACGTTACTTCTGGTCTCCTGAAACCACACTCTAAACTACACGTAGGAGCTTTTAACGTCCGAACACTGTGCCAAGTAGGACAACAGGCTTCCTTAGCTAGGACCTTAGAATCTCGCGCCATCGACGTGTGCTGCGTCTTCGAAACGCGCATACAGGATCCGAGTAGCGTCATTCATTGGACCTCATCATGTTGAAATAAAGAACCAACTCGATTCACGCTTCGTGTGTCTGGAAGCCCTGATGCTGCTTCGCGTGGCCTCGCCGGCGTAGGTATAGCATTGAGTCCTAGGGCAGAACTAGCTCTCTTAGACTGGGTCCCAGTAGACAGTCGCTTGTGCGCTGTCCGACTAAACGGAACAGTAAGGATCCGAAAAGATAGGGACACTCGTCGTTGCCTCTTCGTCATCTCTGCCTATTCTCCCAATAACTGCAGCGCAGATTATGTAAAAGATGAGTTTTACAGAAAGCTCTCCGACCTTCTTCGAAAAGCTGGGCGCTCTGATGTAGTAATAATGGCCGGTGACTTTAATGCTCAAGTAGGTAAACTAAGCGATAGGGAAAGACACCGGGGTGGATCTTATCGCATCGTGGCTCAAAGAACAGATAATGGCGACCGTCTAGTGCACCTATGCTCAGATAACCGCCTGTTTCTTACAAATACTAACTTTAAGCATAAGGAAAAACATCTTTTAACATGGCGACCCCCTAATTCGTACCAACGTTGGACCCAAATAGACCACATCGCTATAAGCCACCGATGGAGGGGCTCGATAGAAGACTGTCGGTCATTCTGGAGCACATGTTTAGATTCAGATCGTGCTCTAGTGCGAGCGCGTATTTGTCTGCGTCTTACTGGACGTGGGAAAGACGCTGCAAGGAAACCTTTTAGAGTCTTACTTAATGATAGCCAAGCTAAGAGTATATTTGAGAAACAACTAGGGAAAGTTAGGCAGCCATGTAAGTGGTGCCTGCCCCGAGGAAGCGTGGAATGGCATCCGAAAAGCTGTGGAAACAGCAGTGATGTCTGCAGGTACGGTAGACCATAAGGTTAGGGAGAAACACTGGATCTCATCAGCATCTACCGCACTGATAGATGTCCGAAAACTCATTCCATCTGGCTCTGAACATAACAAAGAGCGGAGTCAGCCTAAGCGCAAGCTGACAAGAAGCCTACGCAATGATCGCGAACAGTGATGGGTAGCGAAAGCAAGAGAGATGGAAAAAGTAGCGGCAATAGGTAACAGCACACAAGTCTTCAGACTTGTTACGGAAACCGGTATTAGGAACCCAACTGTTAGCGGAACTACCTCGGAAAAAGATGGGCATGTTAATCATTCTCAATCCAGGAGATTGGACTGACCGTTGTTGCTACCTTGACGTGGTGGTCGGGCTTGCTAATCGTGATGAAGCAACCGAACTGTGCAGGCTGGAACAACCGTTCCTCAAGGTTCTACTATGTCAGACAGGTCGATTGGAGAGCGGTAAGACTAAAAACAACAAACCCAAGGTGCGAAGGCGAAGTCGTACTGCTGACTATACAGAGGTGTGATAGCAGTAAGGTGTTTCCTTCAGACAACCAACACGACAGCGATGCTGCATTCCCACAAGGAGGGGTGGAGTTAGAAAAACGTCGACCCTAAAAATGCACACCTCGCCTCATCCCACCATGGAGTCGACGCCCAACAATATGATTGATTGATTGCACGTCTTAGTTTGGTAGCTAGCTTTCTTCCGAACTAACTCTATACCGCCAGGATTGTGAGAAAATGTGTAGCGCATCTGAACTATTACAAATGATAAAGATTCCCAAACTGGTCAATCAATCTGTCGTATTTAACTAGTACTCCACCTAATGTAAGCATTGCTGACTCAACAGTCACATCATGCGATGGCGATGCTTCCAAGAATACAGTACAAATGAAAATATATCAAATAAGTTATTCCAAGAATTACCTAACAGAGCTAAAATTAAATTAAAATACTAGACTACTCATTACAAGAACAAATGATAAGTAATGTCCTATCTTACATATGAGTCTCCGGTTAGTAATTGACCTGTAAGCTCGTGGGTCCTTAATGTCACAGAGCCACACAGACCACATCTGCTACTGACTGATATTATCAAGCCTTGTTCAATACAAGCATTACAGACCCTTCCGCTGGTTTGATGCGAGTTATAATCAGATAATGTGATACCTCTATTTTCCTGGTGAGCCTTCTATTGAGAGCACCTTGAACTTGCTCTCCTTAACTTCCCTATATATTTTTGTCCTTTTGAATGGTGGAAATTAAGCGGTTTCGCTTCATAACAATATCATTACTCTAGACCATGATGATTTTTTGACCTAGCAGAAAAGATTCGAAAGATTGGGTTAAACAAGTCATATACAAAATGTAATTCACAAAGTGCTAGTAGCAGTTTGAGACAAGCATTGTGGAGTACGATTCCTAGAGTATCATCTTCTAGGGGAGAAATCCAAAACAACAGCCTTCTGAAACAACGCTTAAACCCGTATACCCACCATTGGATAATCAAACACGAAGAAGTGAGTATTTAGTTAAAATTAGTTGTCAAATGTAATCGAGCCAAGGGAAAAATGTGCATTAACCCAAGGTGCTACAGCATAGTATGAGGTGAATAGTTAGTAAGTACATATAACGTTGTACCAATAAAACTGAAAAAACGGTTTAACAAAAAAAAGAAAAGATATAAATGAAAGAACGTTAGAACCGAGCTAGATTGGCTGGAACATATGTTCCTGTAGATTCTACCAAGCCAGGACAAACAATTTAAGTACGCGGAACGTTACTTCTGGTCTCCTGAAACCACACTCTAAACTACACGTAGGAGCTTTTAACGTCCGAACACTGTGCCAAGTAGGACAACAGGCTTCCTTAGCTAGGACCTTAGAATCTCGCGCCATCGACGTGTGCTGCGTCTTCGAAACGCGCATACAGGATCCGAGTAGCGTCATTCATTGGACCTCATCATGTTGAAATAAAGAACCAACTCGATTCACGCTTCGTGTGTCTGGAAGCCCTGATGCTGCTTCGCGTGGCCTCGCCGGCGTAGGTATAGCATTGAGTCCTAGGGCAGAACTAGCTCTCTTAGACTGGGTCCCAGTAGACAGTCGCTTGTGCGCTGTCCGACTAAACGGAACAGTAAGGATCCGAAAAGATAGGGACACTCGTCGTTGCCTCTTCGTCATCTCTGCCTATTCTCCCACTGACTGCAGCTCAGATGATGTAAAAGATGAGTTTTACAGAAAGCTCTCCGACCTTCTCCGAAAAGCTAGGCGCTCTGATGTAGTAATAATGGCCGGTGACTTTAATGCTCAAGTAGGTAAACTAAGCGATAGGGAAAGACACCGGGGTGGATCTTATCGCATCGTGGCTCAAAGAACAGATAATGGCGACCGTCTAGTGCACCTATGCTCAGATAACCGCCTGTTTCTTACAAATACTAACTTTAAGCATAAGGAAAAACATCTTTTAACATGGCGACCCCCTAATTCGTCCCAACGTTGGACCCAAATAGACCACATCGCTATAAGCCACCGATGGAGGGGCTCGATAGAAGACTGTCGGTCATTCTGGAGCACATGTTTAGATTCAGATCGTGCTCTAGTGCGAGCGCGTATTTGTCTGCGTCTTACTGGACGTGGGAAAGACGCTGCAAGGAAACCTTTTAGAGTCTTACTTAATGATAGCCAAGCTAAGAGTATATTTGAGAAACAACTAGGGAAAGTTAGGCAGCCATGTAAGTGGTGCCTGCCCCGAGGAAGCGTGGAATGGCATCCGAAAAGCTGTGGAAACAGCAGTGATGTCTGCAGGTACGGTAGACCATAAGGTTAGGGAGAAACACTGGATCTCATCAGCATCTACCGCACTGATAGATGTCCGAAAACTCATTCCATCTGGCTCTGAACATAACAAAGAGCGGAGTCAGCCTAAGCGCAAGCTGACAAGAAGCCTACGCAATGATCGCGAACAGTGATGGGTAGCGAAAGCAAGAGAGATGGAAAAAGTAGCGGCAATAGGTAACAGCACACAAGTCTTCAGACTTGTTACGGAAACCGGTATTAGGAACCCAACTGTTAGCGGAACTACCTCGGAAAAAGATGGGCATGTTAATCATTCTCAATCCAGGAGATTGGACTGACCGTTGTTGCTACCTTGACGTGGTGGTCGGGCTTGCTAATCGTGATGAAGCAACCGAACTGTGCAGGCTGGAACAACCGTTCCTCAAGGTTCTACTATGTCAGACAGGTCGATTGGAGAGCG